GGGTCATACTTGATGATGCATGGGGTCAGATCTATTCAGAGTCTGAGCCTAGGTTTTATTTAATGTGAGGCTGTTAAGACGTTTTAAAAAAGCAAGAAACTCTCAATTGTGAGTGAAAAGTAGCTTTACTGCAAACCATATTAATCCTTATTAATTCATCTCTCCTCTTAGGTTTGAAGGAGAAGATAGTGAGGAGCTTTGAAGTCTCCCCAGATGGGTCCTTCTTGCTTATAAATGGTGTTGCTGGATATTTACATTTGTTGTCAATGAAGGTGAACCATTATTGGTTGTTGCTTGTTCTTTAGGATAAGACTTTAGTGTTGGGAGAGTCTTAAACCATCACTCCTGGTGTCCTTAAGTCAGCATCTCCAGTAGAGGAACATAGGGGAACTTGGGGAGAAGTTGTGGCATTTGGGGGAGAACTTTAGAGTATAAGGAAAAACAAAGTTGAATAGGTGCCACAAAATAGAGAACTAGATTGTTTGTATTTGACATATTGTGATTCTCCTGTGAACCTCCTAACAGTTTGATAAGTAGTATTTATCATTCTTTCAGACTAAAGAACTAATTGGTAGCATGAAAATTAATGGAAGGATTGCAGCATCCACATTCTCTTCAGACAGTAAGAAAGTATATGCCTCTTCAGGTAAGTTAATGACAAGCTTCCGAGAAGCTTCAGATGTGTTTAACTGTCAGATTTCACCAAAACTGTTTTTGATTTTAGACTTTTTTTTTTGCTAGTAAGAAAGTCATTTTTATTTTTAGAATTGTTGCCGTTTGCCTTCTCACTTTCCAGCTAGTAATAGTGAAGGGTTAACCACTTAATGTGCGCTGTTTGGGGAAAAGATTGGAAGAAAATGCATATTTAGACGATGATTCATTCTATGACTTTCTTATTTTCTTTTTGAAAATTGCTGAGAATCATCACCCCTTTTCTTTTAGCCCCTTTTGACTTGAGTAATATTTGGAATTTTCTTCATTATTGCCTGAAAACAGTTCCGATCTCATCCTGACATTTCTGTAGTACTGTTGACCCTCTTTATTACCCCTGATGGTTTCTAATCTTGTGCTTTTCTGCTGGCCTTCCAGGCTGTCCCATGTCATCTGACCCTTTTCCTAAAGGGGCCATCACAAGCTCAGCATAGCTCATGCTGTTTGGTAGTGGGAGGCATCAGAGTGGTTCTGCCAATTATATGGTATTCTTCAATCTGTACAGGACTTTTTAGCATAACTTTTATTTTACCTCAGCTAGAAGCATTTGATAATATAGAATTAATTTTTTTTTAAGTTATAAAAACTTATTTAAAAACAGGATTAAATTTAGCATTAAGTTAGCATTAAATTTAAGTTTTGTTTTGGTTTTGTCCCAGAATCAAACTTTTTTAAGATTTAGTTACTTAGATTTGTAGTTTTTAATCAACTAATGTAAGAATGTCAGGAGCATCTATATTTTCTATATTGTGCTAGGTTTTCCTAGAGGTAAGGAATAAATACTGGTTCAGAGTAATAATGTTCCTCATAAATGGCCCTTGGATCCTAGGAGAGTCAGAGTTGGGGACAGGAGGTGCAGGGTCAGCAGAGGTACTGAAGTTTGGTGTATGAATTGATGCAGATGTTAAATATTTATAGATTTGGTCACCACCATGGAGGCCTAATTTACCATAAGAAGGGTCCTAAAAGCAGAGGAGGAATAATAAAAGTTGAGCCTTGGTAGGTTAGGGGTTAACTGTATTTTGATTGGTCTTCTCCCCTCCTCCCCTTCCTCTCTTTTTCTTCTGTAAGGAGTGGTTTTATGTGAGTGGCATATTGTTCATAATATATTGTTACATATATAAAGAATATTTTGATAGGAGGAGTGTTGAAGTGTTACTCCTTATCTTTTCAACATAACCAGGTTTCTCTTTTTGTTTCCTTATGGATTAATCATTGCTGCTTTTGCTGTAAGTCATCATCAACTCATGACCATTT